ATGTGTGTGTTCTCTCCCCAACTAAGTTCTAAGCAACCTGGGATGAGTCTAAATATCCTCTGACGGTAAATAACAACCATTACGTATTTGGACTACTTGGCCTCTGCTGTAAGTGGTGTAGCCATGTGATTAGGACACAGGCTCTAAAGCCCGACTCCCTGTGTTTGAACCCCAGCCCAGTTTCTACTTGCTAAGTGACGTAGGGAAAAATCGCTCTCTCTGTGCCTCAGTTTCCTCATCTATAAAATCAGAATTCTGTAAAATTGGGATAGATAGAATGTATTTCATTGGATTTTGTGAGTAAAAAAATGAGTTAATTCACATAAAGTACTTTGAACAGTACCTCTTCTATAATGACTGTTAACAGCTATTGAATATATGTGCCAAGTACCATGAACAATGCTTTATACATACTGACATACAATACATATTTCACACATTGAAAATGTTTTTCCTATATCCAAAGTATAAAGTGCAACTGATTTTAGAGAACCACATGAACACAAGAGGTGGCCCACCTATTTTCTGTAAGTGCAACTTACTTTTGTTTTAAAATTGCTCTGAGCGCATCTTTCTGTCCCATGGTGTACTGGGAAATAAAGATGTCATTTGCTGCAAAATAAAAACAAAAATACACTTCAGATTCCTGAAAATTTGTTAAATTTTAATAAACTACTAAATAAACCACCTTTTTAAACTCAAAGAATATTTAAAGAATATTTAAGAATTCAGCAACAGGATTTCACAATTTTAAAAAGGCAAGACACAAATGATCAAATATCAATAGTCATAACCTGAGGCCCAAGAGAAAAAATGTTACCAAAACAAACAAAAAAACACCTGGGGCCAAATTGGGAATATTTGCTCAAACTCTAAAGAGAAAACTGTTTAGAATAAAGTAAAGTCAACTTCTTAAAAAAAGCATCACTAACTAAATTTTTCAAAGCACCACTTTAATTTACTATCTTATCAAAGACTATCCAAAATTTGAATTCAGAATTTATAAACAGGTTTCTAGTACCAAACCTATACAACAGGTTGGTAGTAATAAAATTAACTTGCAAACCCTTTTCTGGAATTTTTGAGATTCAATTAATAGCTTAATTTACAAGGAAAAAATTTTAATTATAATAAGAAAAAACTATTAGGTTGTTTAATGAATGTCTAAAAGTCAATGAATATATAAAAAATATAAAATTCTATGCTGAAAAGGAAATTCTGACACATGTTCCAACATGGATGAACCATGAAGACATGCTAACTGAAATAAATCAATCACAGAGGTCAAGTATGATTCCGTTTATCTGAGGTCTAGTGCAATTCACAGAGATGGCAAGTAGAATGGCAGCTGCCAGGGGCTAGAGAGAAGGGGGAATGGAGAGCTGGGTTACTGGGTAATACACAGGTTCAGTTGAAGAAGATGAAAAAGTTCTGGAGATGGATGATGGTGACAGGTGCACAACAATGTGAATGTACTTAATGCCACAGAACCGTTTGCTTAAAAATGGTAAATTTTATGATATGTATATTCAACTACAATTTTAAAAAATCAAATGTATCCTTTTACCTTTCTGTCTATTGTTCTCTTCTATTTTATCCAAAGGCAACCCTTTCACTGCAACATCTTTAGAAAAACCCTTTGGGATATGAAAGGAAGAAATAAAGGCTAAATAAACGTTATGATTTATTACTTATCAAGTACTATTTACTAGCCATGTGACTACTATATTTTGGGTTTGCAGGACTGTATGCTTTATATACTTAATTCCCATCACCACCAGAATGCTTAGGTACCTTGAAGCTACTCAAGGATTTGTTGAATGAGTAGGAAGCTGTCAGACAAGTGAATGAGTAAGTTAACAAGCAAGCAACTATGGCCCTGAAATTCACACTCATATCCCGATTTGCCACTTCTAGCAGAGCGAGTTGTATAACATCTCAGTTGCTACAGTTAAATGTGAAAATCTGATTCACTGTGAGTCTGATGGAGAACATAAGGATGGCCAGTGCATGGCACAAAATCACCAATTTTCCAAAACATTCTTTGTCACTGAATTCATAATGTGACATCAGAAGGCTTCTCTATATAAGTCATACCTACTGACAAATAGCTTTCTGTTCATGTGTAGATTATATTCAGGGGTAAGACACTATGATTTAAAGTACTAGATTCATTCAATGTTCTATTCAATTGCCTTAGACACACCTTGTTAAATTGACAATACATAGGTCAACATTATGATTACTGGTCAAAGCCTAATTAGATTGCATCACCAAAACATTATATTTATCATCAAATATTTTTAGCATTATAAAAAGGTTAACATGAAAATTTCATGTTTTTGTTTCTTAAAGACCCCTCAAGAAAATACCCACAAAAGACCTCATAATGGTTTGTCTGATGTATAATCACACTCACATTTTTTACTATGTTATTTTTCCTTACATTTACATAATGTTTCTTGTTTAGAATACCTTTTCCTTAGATAATAGCAGAGCGGTTTTTTTAAATTACACTATTTCTTTCCTAGGTCATTATCTTACTAATGGATATTTTTGATTCTATGGAAGGCTTTTTCGCTAACATCTCAAACACTACTTAAATCACAATTGTCGTATGTCAAACATTTCTCTTGGTAAGTGAAATTTAAAAACAAGGCTTGCTGCTAATCAAACATAATTTAAGAATACATTTATTTGACAATACTAAAAATTTCAACATCAGCACAATTAAGAATCCTTTTGCTTACACTTTCTGACACAGGGGGGTTTTCTAATGGAGGCTGGTAATCATTTCTAGCAAAAGCTAAGTCTGATGAACCTACCAAAACAAAGAAATCAATTTTAGTGATTTTTCAAATCAGAACATTACATGTAGAAACTGTACAGGCATGACTCAAGAGCTACTAGTATATATAAACTCCATATGAATGCAAGACCTAAATTGGAAGCCACATTTCATGCAAAAAAAAAAAACACTTAGGAAAAATGAGATTTTACAACTCATATCTTGGAAAATATGGGTCAATATTGACAAGCAAGTGAGATAAGTATAAAATGGTTTAAAGTGTATCATTACTCTGTTAGATTTGGACAAACAAGGGCAGAATCACTTGCCATGAATAAAATACATATATGATATAAAAGCCTGATTTAACAGCAGGCGTATGATATGCTGTACCAACCAAAAAGCAACATTATAAAAGCATTTTTTTTGTTTTTGCACATATATCCATTAACTTAATCCTTACAATTGCCCATGAATTGGATAAAGCATATGTTATCTTCATTTTCACTGATGTTAAGTGAATTGAGATGTGAAAGCCATCAAATGGCATAAGTTGTGTTTTTCTACTACGCCAAACTGACTATCATAATCCAAACATCAGGTAGAGTATTTGGTAAAAAGCCCAGCAGTGAAAAACAAGCTCAGCATATAAATTAAGTATGTCCATCAGAGATGGAACTGGAAGAGTATACAAAAGCCACACAAAGAAAAAACACAATAGGAAATGTTCAAGTTTCATTCATTCTATCCATTCAGTACTACTGGATGCAGGGTATGCCTGGCCATTTTCCCAGGGAACATAGTCAGTTTTTGACACCTGTACAAACTAATCATCTCACATTTGTGAATTTAAACATTAAGAATCCTCTAAATTTTGAAACACACACGCAAAAAAAAGCAATAAAAAGACTAAAAATTTACAAAAGTGAAAAGTTGAAAAACTATGTGGAATCACATACCACGTAACGTTCCATTCACGCTAGTCTCCGTTCTAAAAGGAAGGTGTTTGTTTGCAGACAACGCCGGAGCAACACAGGACAGGTCGTCTTTCAGCAAAGCCAAATTCTCTCCCTGGTTTGGAGAAGCTACCTCCCGAAGCCTCTTCGCTGGTATTTTAACCCTTCTTTTCTTTTCCGGGCTAAACTCGGGGCCTTTCATATTATTGGCAACAAAACTAGTCTCGAAATTCTATAGCAGAACTTTCTTCTGGGTCCATAAAACTGCAGAACAAAATTTTCACCGCTTTGAAGACTGGGGAGAAGGTGGGGTTAAGAAGCGCGTGGGGGGGCGGGGATGATAAGGAAAACGTGAATTTTAAGTGATTCTGAAATATGCAGTCACCAACTTCTAAATTAAACAATGTCTAAACAGACTAGTCACAAAGCTAGAAATTTTGGTACTTAATGCAGCATAATGACTAGAACCTTTTTATCCTCTAATCCCACTCAGCCTACAAATGCACCATGCCATGAATCTTAAACACTGGAGATGACAAGATAATGACTGCATGAGCATAACAACCACCACAATAACAGTGCATTCTCCAGTCCCAGTTGGCAAGACAAAATCAAACAGATGTAGAGGCGGAGTTAAGATTTGCTGGGAGGAGGGAGTCAAGCAGGTAAAACCCAAGTGCTATTTTTTTTTAATTCCCCACGTAAGAAGCTTAATAGCATTATTCAGCCAATGAGTCTTACACATCCCTCCAGTTGCAAACACCGGACACCTAAACTCACGCCTCCGAGTCTCCGGATCGCCAGGCAGCCTCACAACCACAGGTCTCATCGGACAACACCTTCAGTTGCCCGCGGGTAAACACCCACTTCCTTGTAAGCCCCTCCTCCCCCCCGAGACACAACACGCATGCGCGCCTAGAATATTGTCCGAAACAGCCAACCAAAAGGCTCAATGCTCCCGGGTGCTCCTCCATCCCTTTCCGGGTGGAAACAAACGCTCAACGTAAAAGGCTTAAAACAGGTGTGGGTCGTTTTAAGGCAGTACATTGCCCCAAAGGATTTAAATTTTGGATAAAACCCAAGAGACTTGTTGAAGACCTGCAGCGCTCCCGAACTAACTGGTAATACCACTCGCACTCATTAGGGAATGTTTACAGCGTAGCTCCTGGAGACCGTTAGGGACGCAAAGTAAATTAGTCTTTCAAACAGTTTCGGCAGTTTCGGGTTAGTTAATGGCAAGGAAATCAGGAGCAGGGAGCATTGTCTAAGGAGACAATCACAAAAAATTAATTCTCAGAGGATTTCGGAGTTATACGGTCATATCGGATTTTTTTCTCTCAAGTTCCCCTCATTATACGAATCGGCGTCCAAGGATCTAAGGGCTATTTGACATCACCGCTCCCACGTGTTCTGCATCCAGCGGCGGCGGCACCCGCCGTGACCCCGACCCTCCGCCCCCGGACTCGACTGGAAGCGCAGTCCCCCCAGCCTCGTACTGTTGTCGGAAGCGAGAGCCTGTGCTTAAGTATGACCTCTTTCTCTGCCCTCGGAATCCCGGGTTCCCGGGCGGGGGGCGGCAGGCTACGCTCCGGAAAGGCGGTGGGTCTCTGAACGAGGCCGCCGCATCCTGGTGGGCTGAGGGGGGCTGCGGAGCCGGGCAGCGGGTCCTGCTGTCCCCGAGCGGGTTTGAGACCTGCCTGACGTCCGTGTCACCGGGGCGAGGACCGTAATTGGAGGCTCCGAGGCACATCAGACTGGGCTGCAGCAGTCGGGGTCTTGGTCTGAGACTGCGAGTCAGGCTGGAAGGCACCCTGCCTTGACCTTGAGCTAACAGGCAGGAGACTCCCCTTTAACTGAACCGTCCTCCCTGGACACAAAACAGACCCAGCACCTTTATCTGATCTGCTCGTTTTCAAGGACGCACTATTTGGACGTTCCCCTTTACGCATTACTAGAGGCTTTAGAAAAAGGTGAATCAAAGCCAAACAATGTAATCTGATGTAAAAGCTAAATAACACATTTAAAAAAAATTTTTTTTACAGTTCAGCTTTCATAGAAGAAATCCTAGAATTAAATTGGGCCCTAGAGTCTTGGCTTTGAAGAACCTTTTAATTATTCTTTGCAAAATATTATGTCTTATTCCAGTTACATTTCCCTCTTCATTACTGGGCTCACGGGTAGTACTTGCTTGTTCACGATTTGTTTTAGGGAAAATTAAAAGATAAAGTGACAGTGTCAGAGCTTTGGAGATGATTTAATTCCCTTTTTTCTAAATGTAACTTAAATATGAAATAAAGTAACCTTTCCCCTCTAGTCTCTAAAGTGTGACCATAAGCAGTCATTACAAGTTGAATTGGGTTGAAACCCAAGAAGTCTTGGCCCCTCTCCCCCATCTAATCCAGTGCTCAGAGGACTATGCTTTAGGTCTGGAGGCCAACCTTTAAACCCGAAAGCAATAGACGTAATCTTTCAGAAGAATTTCTGTGGGAGTGGTGTGGTATATAGCAAGAATTTTCTGCTCTGATTAATAAGTTGCCATTTAATCAGACAGTAACTTCCTAAACCTGCTGCAGATAATCTGAAGGAAAGGGACATGTGGTATAGTCCCGTTAAAGCCTATCAACCCAACAAGTTAGTTCAGATCAGTTTAAACATCTGACCTATCAAATAAAAGACACGGATAGCCCTGGGCCAAAAAATATGGTTCACAAGATTGTGGGTTTTTTTTATTGTTATAATATTCTTAATATTTTTACTTATTTGCTATCTCTTTTCCACTCTCTCTACATACACAGATACAGTACTCTTTTGCTGAACCATTGCTAGTAAGTTGCAGACATCATGACCTTTAACTCTAATTTCTTCAGCATGAATCACCTTAAGAACAATCTGTTACGCCCTGATCGGTTTGGCTCAGTGGATAGAGCGTTGGCCTGCGGACTCAAGGGTCCCGGGTTTGATTCTGGTCAAGGGCATGTACCTGGGTTGTGATATATCCCCAGTAGGGAGTGTGCGGGAGGCAGCTGATCGATGTTTCTAACTCTCTATCGCTCTCCCTTCCTCTCTGTAAAAAATCAATAAAATATTTTTTTTAAAAAAAAGAACAATCTGTTATGTAGCCAGGATAAGGTTATCATACCTAAAATGGTAACATATCCCCAGAATGTCTTTATTAACTCAAAAATGTTTCCTTTTAATTCAGGATCCAAAGTTCACACATTGTGTTTAGTTGTCATGACCCTTTAGTGTCCTAATCTAGAACAGCCCTGTACCCCTTTTCTTTATGACCTTTTTTATTGATTAATTTCAGAGAGATAGAATCATCAGTGATGAGAGAGAATCATTGATCAACCGCCTCCTGCACGCCCCCTACTGGGGATCAAGCCCACAACCCAGGCATGTGCCATGGCCAGGAATTGTTACCTGATTCAATGCTGAAAACATTGAGCCACACAGGACGGGCATGACCTTTTTTTTTTTTTTTTTAAGACCTCTGGTCTTACAAATTGTCCCTTATGGTGGCTTTTTCTCATTATTCCCTCATGATCAGAGTCAGATCATCCGTTTTGGGGGAGAATACCACGGAGGTGATCACTTGATTAAGGTGGTGACTGCCAGGTCATTACAATATAGGAGGACAGTTTTCCTTTGGTGACCTGTGGAGATGTTTTGAGATTATGAATATATTCTGTTTCCCAGGAATCACCTAGTGGTTTTGTTTTTTTTTTTTTTTTTAATATATTTTATTGATTTTTTTACAGAGAGGAAGGGAGAGAGATAGAGAGTTAGAAACATCGATGAGAGAGAAACATCGATCAGCTGCCTCCTGCACATCTACTGGGGATGTGCCCGCAACCCAGGTACATGCCCTTGACCGGAATCGAACCTGGGACCTTTCAGTCCTCAGGCCGACGCTCTATCCACTGAGCCAAACCGGTTTCGGCTATCACCTAGTGGTTTTATGATCAATTTGTAATCCTTGCCTGAATCACAAGAGTACCAATGACCAGTACCAATCATGTAAGTACCATGTTAGTGATAGAGGCCAAAGACATCAGAAGAATCATTTGCTGTAACTATTTTTACAGAATTAGAAATTTGGCTTCCGGCCTGATACAAATCTGCATATGATTCTAAAAAAGAAATGGTGGACTTCTCCATCGTATCCTGATTAGTCTGCTAATTTCTTTTTAATGTTCAGAAATTTCTGGGAATTGCTTCTTGTTCTTCGATATTCACCTGGACATACTAACTACCTGGAAAGATAAGAATATTATATTTGTTTGTTTATTAATCCTTACCCAGGGATATGTTTTAATTTATTTTAGGAAGAGAGAGGAAGGGTGGGGGAGAAAGAAACAGGGATGAATTGCCCCATCCCCTCCTGTACACACCCCAACCATAGATCGAACTTGTAACCTTTTGGTGTACTGGACCATTCTCCAACCAACTGAGCCACCTGGCCAGGGCAGACTATGATCTATTTTTTAAATATATATAGTAACATATGCTAAAGACTTGTAACCTCTGAATGAGGAAACTAAATTTCACATATTGAAAAGGAAGAGGCTTTTTTCTTTCTATGTAACATTGTTAGTTTCAGATGTACAATATAGTGATTCCATATCTGTATATATTGCAAAATGATCACAATAAACCTAAGGAAGAGGCTTTTTTAAAAATGACTTAGCCAACAGAAGTTTAGATTTCTCAACTATTAGAGCTGGAAGAGGTCTCCCCAGTCATTGTAATCCCATCATTTTTTCAGATAAGAAATAAGGCCTCACTGGAGACATTCAAGCAAAAGTTGGACAACTACTTTTCCAGAACAGAAAGGAAACTCATGCATCAGAAAAGGTTTGAGCTTGATGACTGATAAGATCTCCCTTTACTTTTAACTCACCCGGTTTTATGACATATTTGTGTTTGGCAAAAAATAACATTGCTGTATCATTTCTAAAACCTAAGCCAGAGATTCTGGAACTCTTATCCCTTCCCTTCATCTCCACGTCTCAGGAGTATAATTGAAAGGTAATTTCCTCTGCAGATGTTTGTCTCTATAATAATAAACATTTGCTGTAATATCTGGAAACTAGGACCAAATAAAAGGGCAGCCACATTGCTGCTGCCTGTTTTCACTATCAGTGATTTGCTTGGCTTGTTGGAGTTTGTCAGTCAGCATAATTTATGATTAAATAACTGCAAAAAAGAAGGCTGACTTTAGAAGACACCAGATAGCAAGTAAGTTTGCAAATCAATCACTTTCAATATCTCCTAGGAACAGTTGCCTACAGTTATGTATACCGTAACCTTGATACAGATATACTTCAGAGATTGCAGGCTCAGTTCCAAACCACTGCAATAAGGGAGTCGTAATGTTTTTGCTGGTGGAGGGTCTTGCCTTCAATTTGTAAAAAAATGCAATAAAGCAAGGCACAATAAAAAGTATGCCTTTATTTATGACTACAGAGAAGAGCTTTAGAGATTTAGGCAGACATAAGAAAATTGCTGACTGTTAGCTTGAGTTCAATTATAGGTCTGGGACAATATTTGAAAAGTCTATAATTGAATGATTCTAGAGAAAAGGAAACCATAATGTTAATTTAGTGGTTTTTGAGTAAAGTATTTCTCTTTTATTTTCCAAATTCTCAAGAAATATATTACATTACTTTTATAATATGATAAAACTTTATTTCATTTTAAGGAGATATATATACTATTAAAAACTTTACATTAAAAGATAATGCCAAGAAGCCCTAGCTGGTTTGGCTCAGTGGATAGAGTGTCAACCTGTGGACTGAAGGGTCCCAGGTTCGATTCCGGTCAAGGGCACATGCCTGGGTTGCAGGCTCAAACCCCGTAGGCAGCCAGTCACTGATTCTCTCTCATCATTGATGTTTCTATCTCTCTCCCTTCCTCTCTGAAATCAATAAAAATATATATTTTTTTAAAAAAGATAATGCCAAGGAAATAATAATAAATAAAGAAGATTCATACCAACACCATTGAGGCACTCCATATCTATGTCTTATCAAATAACCATCTTTCGTCACCATGAGTTGTTAGGTATACTAAGGGGCAAGTAGAGGATAGTCAGCAGAGTAATACCCATCTGCTATTATTTTGTTAAGGACATATAGGTCTATTTTATGAGGGATATTTCTCTAGTTTTATGTATGGCCTTTGTCTGGTTTTGATATCAGGATAATAGTAAATTCGTTACACTTTTGACATCTGCAGGGTCTACAGTGACACACAGTTTCATTTCTGATAATGATAGTCTTTTTAAAGAACCAACTCTGTTTTATTGATTATTGTTTTTTGCTTTTATGTTTTTATTTTTTTAAAGTATGTTTTTATTGATTTTGAGAGAGAGAGAGAGAGAGAGAGAGAGAGAGAGAGAGAGATTGAGATTGATGAGCTAGAAACATGGATCAGCTGCCTCCTGCATGCCCTCTACTGTGCATCGAGCTCACAACTGGGCATATGCCCTGACTGGGTATCGAACAGGCAACCTCTCAGTGCATGGAACGATACTCAACCAACTGAGCCACATTAGCCAGGGCCTATGTTTTCATTTTTATTATTTCTGTTCTATTATTTCTGTCTACATGTTTTGGGTTTATTTTGCTCCTTTTCTAGGTGCTTTAGGTAGGAGTTTTGATCTTTGATTTGAGAGGTTTCTTCTTTTCTAATGTATGAATTTAATGCTATAAATTGTTCTCTTGGCACTGATATAGCTCTGTTAACACAAATTTTGATATGTTGTGTTTTCAGTTCATTCAGTTCACTGATTTTTCCCCCACTTGAGACTTCCTCTTTGACCCATGAATTATTTCGAAATTTATTGTTTATTTTCCAGATGTTTGGAAATTTGCCTGTTCTCTTTCTGTTAATTATTTCTAGCTTGATGCATCTGGTCAGAAAACACACTTAGAATGATTTAAATTATTTTAAAATGTTGAGGCTAGTTTTTTGACCCAGGATATTGGTTCAGTGGGCACTTGATAAAAATGTGCCTTCTGTGGTATTGGGTGAAATGTTCTGTAAGTATGGATTGTACCCTAACTTATAGGATATTAAAAAAAAGAGAGAGAGAAAAGAATAAATGCAAAAGAGTGGAAGATGTATACACGGTTGGAAATACTAGAATGGAATTACCGTCAATTATATTTGTTAATCAAATGAGAATGTTATTTTTTTCCATGATAATAGCACTTTGAGTTTCCTAGTTTCATGAAAAGTCATGCTTTACAGAGCCACTTCAAATAATAATGAGTCAATAAGAATGACTTACACATCCAGTTTATCTTTATTGCATTGATTATTAGGAAATTCAAGCTAAATATAATGCATAAAAATTCATTTAGTCTACAGTGTACAAAATTGTATTTGCTTCTTCCTTTACATGCTGTTTAATTTCTATTTTAAACAATCATATTTTATACAAATCTTTATGTGAGATGTTCTTCCATTTTAGAACTAGCCAGATAGAATAAATAATGTGATGCATTCTTATATCTGGATTAACTAAGCCTGGGCCCTCCATTTAGGATATGTGAAAATCCCAGGAATTCAGAAAGGCTTTTTACTTGCTTATCTTCACTTCTCTGTGGCCCCCAAGTTAGATCATAAGTGTCACATGTTTAGAAGTTTCTGTTACAGTTATTGTCCTTTTTGAATTTCAGACTTCACAACTCCTATAACTTCCTTTTAAAGTATATTAGAACTCATTTGGGTTATTGATTTATAAGTTAGGATGGTGTTTGTTAACAATTAATAGTAGTCTGCATTTGCATAGAGAAGGTAAAAGGATCATTAGTAGCACAGGTCAAAGTTACATTAGTAACCAATGGAATAGTTAACTTAAGTACTTATAGAAGACAACAGAGATCTCTTGGTTTCCCTTAGAATCCTAAGGCCCTAGCTCAGCCGTGGGCAAACTACGGCCCGCGGGCCGGATTCGGCCCGTTTGAAATGAATAAAACTAAAAAAAAAAAAAAAAAAGGACCGTACCCCTTTATGTAATGATGTTTACTTTGAATTTATATTAGTTCACACAAACACTCCCTCCATGCTTTTGTTCCGGCCCTCCGGTCCAGTTTAAGAACCCATTGTGGCCCTCGAGTCAAAAAGTTTGCCCACCCCTGCCCTAGCTGGTTTGGCTCAGTGGATAGAGTGTCAGCCTTCGGACCAAATGGTTTTGGGTTCTATTCCAGTCAAGGGCACGTGCCTTGGTTGCAGGCTCCTCCCCAGCCTGAGCCCTGATCAGGGCTGGTGCAGGAAGCAACCAATCAATGTTTTTCTGTTTCTCATATCGATGTTTCTCTCTGTCTTTCCCTCTCTCTTCCACTCTCCCTAAAAATCAATGGAAAAATATCCTCAGGTGAGGATTAGCTAAAAAATAATTTTCAGATTCCTTTAAAAAAAATCCTTCTAGGAATGGAACTTTAATAAGTAGCTTTTCTGCACAGTAGCAGGGCAATTCATCTTAAAACTGGAGATTTAGCCACTCAGTGGTTAGAGTGTGTAGGCCCTTGGACAGAAGGGTCTCAGGTTCGATTCCCACTCAAGGGCACATACCTGGGTTGCAGATATCTATCCCAGCCTGTGCGATGGAGACCAATCAATGTGTTTCTCTCTCACATTGATCTCCCTCTCTCTTTTTTTCTCTTCCCCACCCCCTCCCTTCTACTCTCTCTTAAAATCAATGGAAAAAATATCCTCAGGCGAGTATTAACCAAAAAAAGTAACCCACTAAAGATTTAGATAGACAGGGTCTTTGGGTCCCACAGGTAATAGCATTAAAAATTCTAATTCTAAACTTTATGGTTCTGTTGTCATTAATGATGTGGGAAATTGGGGGAGTGGTGTATAATTACATACATGGTTAGAAATTGATAAAATGTGAATAATGTGGTATTTCAGGTAGACTTGTTTCAGTTCTGTTTCATAAACTATTCTTGTTTCGATTACCTAACTCTTCAAGTAGCCTAAAAACATTTATTTGTAGCCCATGTGGCTCAGTTGGTTGAACATTGTCTCATGTACCATAAATTCACTGGTTCAATCCCCAAACAGAGCTTATACCCAGGTTTTGGGCTCGGTCCCCAGTAGGGAGTATACAGGAAGCAGATGATCAAGCGATGTTTCTCACACCAGTGTTTCTTTCTCCCTCCCCCTTCCTCTCTCTCTCTCTAAAATCAATAAAAAACATTTTTTTAAATAAAATATTTGTTGATAGGTTGACAAACGTTTTTTATTTTTAAATCAGGTGACTAATAAAGGTACCGAAAGAATATGGCTGCACAAATTCCAGAATCTGATCAGATAAAACAGGTAAGGTATTATAATTAAGAAAAAGGCATTTGGCAAACAGTTTAAGGCACTATTGAATGCAACCATGTCAGTGATCTCAGAAAATAATGGTTTATATTTCATTTCCAAAATTGGATATTAAATGAAGAATTTTAATTTTCAGGTAATCCAGGAAAGAATATTCAATGAGAAAATCTGATTATATTTTGTAACTCATATTACATAGATCATAGTATACCTATTTAAGTTAGCAAAAGTTTGATTTAAAATATTATAGGACATTTCACCTAAAATACAAACTTCAATTAAGTTTCAGAACATTTTTGTTTTAAAAGCCAAATATTAACCAGTGAACTTATATACCTATAGGCATACCCCACGGACAGACAGTAATG